ATATATATGTTTCACTCCTAAGTAATATCGATCACATATTTGTAAACAAATTGACAGGAAAAAAAAATCAAATAATTCAATCCCATGTTAGTTTTGGTCAAAGCCTCAAAGTGCTGCTGCAGAGGGACCAAAAAGCTACCTGTGGCCCCAGAGCCACTGATTGTTGATCCCTGGTCTCTATTTATTCGATAGTATTTAATGATTTCAGTTTGAATTTGAAAAAATAAAATCGCTTTGTCAATAATATGTCTCGTCAGCTTTATTACGCAGTACGATGACTTCTGTGCTGTGATTATTACCTGATAGAGGCCAAAGTCCAGCCGCAGTGTGGCGACGTAGCGCATTTCACGGCCACTCCGAACGTCTCGCAGCTCCAGCTGGAGATCATGCCACCGACCATCTGCCACATGAACCTGATCCAAACGTAAGCGCACGGGCCGGGTTGAGCCGTGGGTTATGGAGAACACCAGTTGACCATTTATCACCTGTGAGAGATGTGAGAACATATGTTCACCACAACAAGAGATAAACCACACGAGTCAAGGATGAAAAAAATAATAATAATAACAATAATTTATTACCATCTCTATATATTTTGAGTGCTTATAGGTGTAGATGTGTGAAAGGGCATTGAATCCAATGTCTTCTTTAGTTTAAATATAAGTAATTAAAAAACACATTACGACTAAACTATCCTTATTTTTTGAGAGGATAAAAAAGGGTATTTACAGCAAAAAAAAAAAAAAAACAAAGATAGTGACAAAAACAATGCAAGTTTGCCTTTTTTCATACAAGAGCGTGTGGATCTCAACTGCTAGTATTTGATGCAGTTTCATCTCACACCTTTTCACACGGAAATCATATTTTGACACCAGCATGTTTTGTAAATACGTACAAATGTTTTCTGTGTATTTTGGTGAGTTTGGGCTCTAATGTCAGTAACTGAAATGACGAATCTGTGTGCTTGTGTTGGGTCCAACCTGAAACAACAGACTGGTGTACTGGCCAGCCTGGGCCTGCAGCAGCGTCCCCTCCCGGGCTCGGGTTCTGAACACCAGGCCGAGGTACCAGGGTGTGGAGATGGTCACGTGATTCTTCAGGTCCCACCAGAGGGCGCCGTTACCGAGGAAGCGGTGTGGGTGTGGCATGGCTAAAGCAACAGGCAGGAAAAAAACCGGAAATGAAAACATACATTTTCCAGAACAGCCTTTAGAGTTCACTGTTTACTGAGCTAATGCATTATTTTAGGATCTGATTATTTTTCAACTGTTCGGGCTGACGGAACCTGATGTTTGAGAATTTGGTCATAATGAACACAAACTAAGGACACTGCAGCTCAAAGTCTTTCTTCATTTACAACTATTTCTTTTTCCCTGCTGAAAGTATCAGATAAATGAAAGTAGTTTTTTTTTATTTTGAAACTTTTGACCCACAAAAAAAGAGAAAATTGTGATTTCTACTATTGCAGGATGAAGTATACAAACATGGCTGAGATTTGTGTTTTTATAACCCACAGTGGGATCCTAAACCCAACTTTGGGAACCACAAATACCATGTGGAAAACGTATTAATTTTTAAAAAGTTTTTTTTCTTTTCATAACAAGGATAAACTTAAAACAAAATAAAAAGACAAAATAAAAAAAAATCTAGGAACCTGCAAACATTTGTCTTTCAGGTAAAAAATAAAAATAAAAAAAGGTCATTTTATCCCATAAGCCCCCATTGCCACAGATTTCCCTGCAGAATTGGATGTCGGAGCTTACAATCAAGAAGCGTCAGTAAATAAAAAGGAGTAAAGCCCAGCCTGAATCCACCTGGGCAGTGGAACGTCTGGGTTTAGGTTAAATTAAAAACAGGAAATTAAACCAAATATCCCGTGTGAATCTCCCACATATCAAGTGTAGTCTCCTTATTAAAGGTTTTTGTAATTTCTCCACTCATTCTCCCACATTTTTTTCCCTGTAATTACATCCAACATAGGATCAAACTTGTCTAGCCTTCAATTCATCCATGATTATGGCTTCCACATGTACAATCAGCTGCCGGAATAAAAGCATTAACTGAGATGTAACAATAATAGGCCAGCAAGAGAAATGTATAGGAAACAAGAAAGGCACTCATGAAGGAACGTCACAACATGTTGGAGCTGAGGAACAAGCGAGGAAACAAAGGAATGAGACTAAAACTCTGTGAGTTACTAAAAAATGATCTAAAATATTTATATTTTAGTAAACTGTTAATTAGGTAATATCAAAAAGCATGGTGTCATATGCAAATTTAACAGGGCTGCACCAATTGCAGTTTACTAGCCAATCACAGATCTTTACAAAGTCTGACCTGCTGATTCTAATTTTGGCTGAGACATTGTCAGCTGCTATCACCTTCAATGCTCCAGTCTTATTTTATGGAAAAAACATTGAATACCCTCAAAACAATATAAATTTGTTTTAACTGGACATGAGGTAGTTTCACAGCAGAACAAAAGAAGACTGGCTGATTTTCAGATCTTTATGGAGGTAGATAGGATGGATAAGATCAGCTTCTCATCTAAGTATTTACCGATCAGCGATCTTCCAAAATTAAGGAAATCGGGGTCAATAAATTGGCCGTCCAATTTATCAGTGCACCCCTAAATTAAACCAAACTTTGGATTATTTAAGGCTTTCCTGAGGACCACAGAATATAAAGGTTCTCACTGTGGCTGCAGTCTTTCCCTCCGTATCCGATCGGACAGTCGCAGGAGAACGTCTCCCAGCTCACTCTGCAAGTTCCCCCATTCTGACACGGGTTGGACTTACAGAAAGGGAGTTTAGCACTGCAACCTGTAAGTATAACAAAAATCAGAAACATTTTGTGCACCTCCCCAAATTCAAGCAATTGATATTTACATTTCAAATCGATTCAGTTTGACACTAAAAGTCTTTGATGTGTAATTACTCGTGCTTTGAAAACATCAAAGTGGATTGTAAACACTGACCAGGAAGTGTTCCGTTGTTAGCGATAAATCCAGCGAGATCCACGGCCCTGCTGTCCACATGCAGGTCCTTCATGCAGCCGATAAACTCCCTGGTGCCAAAGGGGAAGTTGTCAGGCACGTTGGGAACTCCTCCGAGAAATAATGGACCGGTCAGATCCAAAGACCTAAGAAAGGCAGATAATAAAAGGAGAGAAAATAAAGTGGAAAGGAAAGAGTGTAAGGACTGAAATACAGGATTATTTATCAAGGATGAGGAGAGGGATGGGAGAAAAAATGGAGTGTTGGAAAATGAGGAACATGAAAGGAACCTGCATGGATGAGAGAAGCAAAAGGATTTCTCAAACCCAGAGATTAAACGTGCCGTCAAAGGAGCAAGATTCAGGGAATAAGTGTTAAACTCCAGAATAAATCAGACATTTCCAGAAGAAAGGCGAAACTGACAAGAGGAAGAAAGATGTTAAAGAGCTGAGGCAGAGAAATGTGACAGACTGAGATGAACAAACAAGAGATTAAAAGGGAGCTGCGGCAAATGTCTGGAGAGATGAAGAAAAAGGTGGAAGACAAAGGGAAGGAGAGACACGAGGTAATGTAGATGTTAACGCACTTCAAGATATATTGTGACGTAGTTGAGATACAAAACTGAAGAAGATTTTAGGAACAAGCAAGAGTTGAGAGGCAGAGAGTAAAGGTGGATGACGAGACGGGTGGAAAATGGGAGAGAAACGAGGAGAATGTAAGAGCATTCAGAGGGCAGCGTCTCACAGTTATGGGATATGAGATGAAAACATGACAAAACAGGAGCATTTGTGTTGTCTGTCTAACAGCATTATGTTTATTTAACTCCACAGTGTGTTATTTCCTTTCAGATCTGTGACAATGCGCGCTGCGAGCCAAGAAACAGACAACTGCGGCGCGTGTTTCCAGAATGCCAAACAGACAAAAGACACCAGAAGGAGTCAAACAAACAAGAGCTTAGAAGTAACAGCTAAAGCAAATATCAAGAGGGAGATTCGTTAGAAAGGGATGTCAAGACTGAGCAAGTGGAGGCTGGTAATAGATAAATGGAGAGAAAAGAAAAAAAAGGAGTGTTGAAGTGTTTGTCTTTGGCCTTCCTCTTTGATCTGTCTCGTCTCTTCCCTGCTTCACTTACAGCTGACAGGACACACCCAGCGTGATTAGAGGCAGGCCAGACACCCACACTATGACAGGCTGCTCTCTGAGACCGTGTTTATGCATAAACTGTGTGCGCTCGGCGCACTTGTTGGTGGAGCTCGAGCCATTTGTCCACTGGCAAAACAATCATCAATCAGAAGAACGGTCTGCGTCGTTTTGACAAGGTCAACCAGATCTGACAGCACAGTGCATTTGATACTAACAATAAGAATTTATCAGTGTGACTCATGCTGAGAGTGATGAAAAGGATGGAACATCATGAAGAGTGAACGGATGAGATACCAACAAACACAAAGTAGCCATGTGTTAAAAAGTTGCATCTCATCAAAGCCTCGAGCATTAATTTGATTTTTATAGTCACTGTACTACAGCTATAGATCCCCTCCAACAGATTTTAAAATAGGATTTTACCAGATTAACTTTATTAAGTTTCTAATAATTTATAAAAACCACCAGCTTTGTATTAATGTTACATAAAAGGGGTGGTGGTGGGGACGGTATTATGTATTTCCCAGGCACATAATTCAATTCTACACCACAATCAAGTAACTACGTTACCTTCAGTTGTTCTGAAAATGCTGTATAGATCAGCAAATAGAAGCACTCGGAGAGCACAAACCTCCACCCAGGCCATTTCCCCTAGCTTGCAATAGTGAAGAATCCTTAAAAAAATTACTGGATCCGGATCATCACCAAAATTTAATGGTGTGTTCCTTTGGCCAATACCCACCTGTGGTAAAAAAAACCTCATGAAAATCCGTCCATACGTTTTTGAGTAATTTTGTCCACAGACAGAGACGTACGCGACCGAAAACATAACCTCCTTGGCGGAGGTAATAAATTACACTTTGCATTATGGAAATTGTTGAAAATTTTCTCTGTCTCTTTAAGAAGCTCCTACTGTTTCTGACACTCCCACTTCAGCATGTTGTCACAACATTGCTTAGGCGGAGGGGTGCTCTGTGGGGCGGGAGCTCGTCTTGGGACTGAGCTTCAGGGAGGGGCTTTGTGTAAATGGGCGGAGCTTTGCACCGGTAAGCGTTTAGGCAACTCCACATGGCTACCACGGGAGATTCAAGGATTTCACAAACGTGCAGGAATGAATCAAAGCAACACTCTGGGTTTGTTTTTAATGAGCTAATGACATTATAACATGATATACGCTTGAAAAAGTCAATTTAGCACAATAACCCCACAACCATCCTTTAAAGTGATCAACATACAATTCTATATCCTTTTTTGTTTTTGCTGTTATAGTATCCCCGCTATGTAAGAGGCTTCAGCGGTCAAATTAGGTGAACATACAAAATAAATAAATAAAACAAGAAGAAGCATCTTCCAGTGTTTGAATCAACATCAGCGAGTGACCTCCTGGGAATGTGGGTTGGAAAAACAAACCACGACTCAGAGGTTCTGAGGAGCTTTTAAGAAACATCTTCAGATGAGTAATTGATTGGTTCAGTGAGTTACAGGAACTGAGGACATGAATAATAATCATAAAAATGAACAAGTGGATCATAATTATATTGTTATTCAATAAACTGTAAATACAAAAACATATCTACAGCTGTACATGCAAGCACTTATGTCCAGTCACTGCATTATTTCTCCTTTTAAAGCTATAATCCATAGGGTCCATATACAGTGCTGCTGCTGCAGAGGTGGATCAGCTCTATTGGTTTTCTACTTCATAAAAAAAATTGCCTTTGAATAAACGCTAAGCCTCAAATCAGTCACAGATTATGTTTAATGGGAGTTATCTTTGTAAAGACGCTGGCACATCCTGTGCAAACATCCCTCACAGCTCAGGGTCAGTAACTGCTCAGAGCTGTTCTGCAGAAAATCCACTTTCTACCTGAAAAAAGACCAAATAAGGTGGAACAGAAAGCATGTTTATTGTTATTTCAAACTGGAACCAAAACCAGTTTTCACTTTCTTTGGACTCCCTGTACCTTTCAGCTTCCTCTCACATGTGAGCATGGCAGCCTGTCAGCCTAAACTCATTCCTCCTTCAGCCTCAGTAGAAAAAAAAATCTATTTATCCCAAATAAACCTGTATTTATAGGATTAATATGTATGTAATGATGCAATAGTCTCAACCATAAAATTAAGAGCCCAACGATTCAAACGGCAACTGATTTTGATATTTCAGCGTACTGATGCAATACTGTGAGATAAATAATTTGAACTCACTTCTTGCTGCTGGTCTGTTTGCCCTGCGCAGCGCAGCTATAATTTCCGAGCTGCAAACCAAAGCGAAGCGACAAGGCGGTGTCACAGTCGTCAACGCTCACCACGGCTATCTTCTCATCTGACGGACCCTGCGCTTCTCCAATCATGCTGCGTTTGGGCTGAATACACAAACACAAACACGACAAGACTGAATACAGATCCAAACAAGCAGAAAACCTGAAACAACAGGAGGCAAAACGGCATGCAGGAACTAGAACGGTTTATTGAATAAAGGCTTTTGAGGTTTTATATTTCAGCTCTGTTTCACCTCACAGAACACTATCTAATGTGCCACCACACAATGTTAAGAGGAAAGGAGAAAAATTGGAGTTAGTTTGTCAAGTCATAACGCAACAAGCTGTTAGGAGAGAGTATGTTTGAGACTACGTGTGCTTTGGTTCAAGAAAAACACGGACAGAAAACGCAGAAAGAGGGAACTACACAGGGAATAACTGGTTGTGCATCCTGACACACATTCATACTCACATAGCGTGTAGCTGGCTGAGGAAAATAAAAAAAATGTTTTTTTGAAGAAAATTAAAAGAGATGCGCAGCAAATATGCATGAATCTAATGGGGACACGCAAACACCCATGTAAAAACAAACACACACAAATACGTCACCTCAAATTAAAATGCGTGGCGTGCAGAAAAAGAACTAAACTTTTTTTTTCTGCTGAAGCACCAGAAGCACAAATAAGCTCAAAAAAGCAAATTATTATAACGAAATCCCTTTTAATGATACGCCATCAGACAAACATCAGAAGTGCAATGAGAGAGTGAAAACAGCAGGATGCAGCGCAGGAAACCCACCTTGTTGTAGTAATGGATGTGAACCGTGTGCCAGTTCCCATCGCTCACACCGCCGAGCACGAAGGGGCTCACCTGAGTGGACGACTCACCTGCAGGCAGACAAATAAAACTTGGGTTAAAACGAAGCGGTCAACCATTTCAGCACTATGTGAAAGTTTTTTTCTTCAAATATTTAGTTTAAGCACAAATCGATAAATAAATAAATCAAAGCAGAAACAAGATTGCGTTACAATCCCTTGAAGAAATGATTTATAATTCCTATGCATTCATGCACAAAAATAAAACAAACACCCTGAACTTCCTTCATCCTTATTATTATTATGTTTGGCATGACTGCTGGTATTCCCTCCCTCAGGGGGCAAGTAGATGGATAACTAGATATTATCGCCCCCGGAGAGAAATTTGTTTTCACAATCTGCACATGTCCACAGCGCGCAAGAAAAACATCCAACTGTATGAAAGCAGTACAGTGGACATATGGGCTATGATTATATTCCCAAAAGGTTTCCTTGAGGGAATATGAATAAAAAAAATAGAGTCAAAGACAAATCTGCTGTTACAGAATTTGTTGTACCTGTGGAATACTTGAACACCACTTGTCCCTCTTGGATCTCCAAGGCAATGAAATCATGTTTCTCATTGAAGCGCCCGTTGTAGAAGAGAAGGCCGCTTTTCTCCAGGGTGGCAAAACTAAACAATTTACACACAGGAAAACAAGTTTTAAGCAACTATCATATAATTTGACACCACTAAAAACACAGTTTAATTTAGGCATATGTTTGCACATTCTATTGACAAAAATATTCAAATAACAAAACATTTTCAAATCAGAGTTTGTATGATTGATGCAACATTTAATTTACTTTGATAAAATTTCCTAGGACTAAGGTGTCCAATGTGACATTGGATAAAAAAAATTTATGCGTGACCACACGTTACTATCTTGTGGCCACAAAATAATAATGCATGACCACAAAATAAATAATGTGCGGCCACAGGTTATTTATCATAACGAGATTTTTGAGAAGCAGTGTCTCTTCCATCTTTTATTGTATTCATGAGATGACAACGTGTGTGTCGGGAAAATGATTTTTTTTTTTTTACTGTGTTCCTGAACGTGACTAGCCTGGCTATAGCCTGGTTCAAACCAGACCCTGTCCTTCACGTTGCTTCGTACAAGGGTCTGGACTTGATGCATAGAGAATCGATTTCTTGCAGGAGGCGTGGCCTCTGCAGAAGCGTGTGTGTTGTCGCTGTGACGGAGGCTAAGCTAAGAAGCCAACCGGAAATCGCGTGTGCTGTAAACAACCCTACTGAGAGGAGAAAAGTACCGAGCTGAACGAGATGACTGTAAATGAGAGCTGCTGCTTTGTCAGACATATTTTGGAAGCCTTATCAACACGGACTGACTTCATTCACTTCCTTCACTGCCGTATGCTAAACTAACTAGTAGACACTGCGCAGAAAATTGACGTCGTTCAAAACTCCGCCTTCTGTTTGCTGATTGGCCCAGGTGAAATAAACTACAAGCAGACACTGCACAGAAAATTGAAGTACTCTTCTCTGATTTGTTTGGCTAAAAACCTGCCAGCGAAATCCTTGTTAATGGGAGAAGTCCCAGACGGAGCAGAGAAGGGAAACCAGAACTGAGCGGAGCTGCGTAGGAAGGCAAGGGCCAGGCTAGCCTGGCTACATTATTCCAGTTGATTCACTGCTCCCTCTGGTCTTCCTCCCATTGACAGGGTTTTCCTCGGTAGAACTTCCACCGGGACAATCGGCAAACAGTAGAAGGAGTTGTAAACAATGACGTTATATTTCTGTTCTGTTTTAGTCTGCCTGTAGTTTAGCAGTGACAGCAGAGGAAGTGAGTAAATGGTAAATGGTACTGAACTTATAGAGCGCTTTTCAAGTCCCTCCTGACCCCAAAGCGCTTTACACTAACAGACATTCACTCATTCACACTCACATTCACACATTGATGATGGCAAACTACACTGTAGCCACAGCTGCCCTGGGGCACACTGACAGAGGTGGGGCTGCCATACATCGGCGCCACCGGACCCTCTGACCACCAACAGTAGGCAAGGTGGGTGAAGTGTCTTGCCCAAGGACACAATGACTGAGACGGCTGGACAGGGGATCGAACCAGCGACCTTCTGGTTCCAGGACGACTCACCTAACCACTCCGCCACAGCCGCCCCAGAATGAAGCCAGTCCATGTTGACAAGACTTTCAAACTAAATTAACGTCGTCTCACAAAGTCTGCAGCACTCATTTACAGCCATCTCATTCGGCTCGGTACTTCTCTCTTCCCAGTAGGGGATGGTTGTTTACAGCGCACGCAATTTCCGGTTAGCTTCTTAGCTTAGCTTCCTTCACGGTCGAATCGCTACATACGTCACGATCAAACGTTAGCGATTGGGTAAAATCTGATTCAGTTGTTTTAAACCTAAACAGAGTCCACACCTCCAGAAAGTAATCATTTCTCAATCGCCAAGTTTCCAGACCCTCTGACGAAGCAAAGCGTAGAACAAGGGTCTGGTTTTTAACTGGCTAGAATGTGACATAACTCAGACTCCTTCAGCAGCAAACGCCTGATGTGAGAGAGGAGCCTGTTTTGAGTGGTGTTCTGCTTAAAAAGGATATAAAGCATTTTGGACAAATATCCAGTCGTCACCCGTGTCTTATTGCTACAATATGCTAAGAATTACTTCATGCCTAACTGCAAGTGACTGAAGTATGTCATTCATTCTTAAAATAAAACAAAATGAACTCAAACCTGTCCTGTAAACAGTCAGCATCTGCATGAAAATGACACTCTATTATCTCGTGGCTGAGACAATAATGCACGGCCACAACATAGTTTTTTATTTATCCAATGTTACCGGATGGGCTTCATACAGGACTAATGACCATGAATGGAGCAAAAATAGTTTCTTTTTTTTTCATCTGTTGCAAAAATCTCCCCTCATAACATACAAAAAGTTAAACCTCAAGTATAAAAATTCTCTGATGAAGACACTCCACAACTTTAAAAAGATTTACTACTTTCAAATTACTTTGACATAATTTTTTTTAATTCGCCTGACCCCTGGCACTTTTTAAAGGATTTTTTTTTCTTCCAGGTCTCTATCCCATCAGTAGGGTTAAATAGATACAACCCAATCTCACAGGAGAATCAAAAATGAATCCTTAAGTGCACAATTGTTAGAGGTCAGGTTCAGCTACAGACCCGGAGCCCCCGGGCTAGAAGATAATAAACGTCTGAACTGGATGAATTAAATGATTTAGGTTCACTGAACGTAACTGCTTTTACTACATCTTATTCTAGTATGTTATTGCAAATATGGATTCAAATATTTATATATATTATGCTTCAGTACAAAACAAAGATATTGTTATTTTATACTGCAAGTCTGTCGTGTGCTTTGAGGGTAATTTTGTTATCTGAGATAGTTCACTTGAAGTCATGCGTCTTCTTTATCATCAAACTCTACATGCCACTAAAAACTGAATTTAAAAATTACAATAATTTGAGTTTACGCAGATTTAAAATGAAGTCATCACATCTCAGATCACAGATGCAGTGAAGCTGACGGAGGAAATAAATACAAAGCAGCATATGTTATATGTTCCTGATAGTGTAATTTGCTATGCTAAAATGAAGTGACTTGTTCCCCAAAGCAATAAAACTGCATAAATGAATATTTTGAGTCCATTATAGTTCTTATTTCTTAAACTCCTTCAGCTCAGCAGCCAGTGACAGTTACCAGCACAGCAGAAGAAATGAAAAGTTTCTGTAATAAACAGCACAGGTTACGCCTTCTTCCAGCTGCCCTGGAAATAACCTTCTTCCTCAAGCTGAAATGTTTTATTTTTTATCTTATCATCCAGCTGAGCAATAATACCAATGTTTCCACAGTCAGCTTTTGGCTCTGCATGAGCAAATATTATTTTCTAGGATGGTGAAAAGCTCATATCAGCCCAGAATTATTAAACAAGTTGCTAAATGAAAAGAAATCAGGAGTTGTCTGTCAGTCACAACAAGTCTCTAATTTCAGGCTCCACGACTGTCACAATCAAATAAACTGAACTTAATTTCCCCTTTTTGCATGGGCAAAATTATAAGGTTCTTTGATGTAAAAGTCATTTTGTGCCAAACAAACCATACGATTAGTGTTTAAAAAACATCTTTGCTTTTCACTCATTGATCACAGCTGCTAAAAGAACAGAAAATTCAATAACTTTATTCAGGCAAATCTTCCAAAACACTTTGGCTATTTTAACTTTGCAACAATCAGTATCTACGGGAATTAACAACGTGGGATTTCTTCAGTAGCGATGCTACCAGAGCTGTTAAACGCTCAATAAATGAACTCAACAAAGAAACCCTCTTTAACCTTTCACTTCATTCCCTGACGAATCGCCGCTGCACAAACAGAGACCACAAATCAATAGAACAAGTCACAGGTAGTGCTCGAAGGTCCAGACGGTACTCAGTTCAGCCCGAACATCACGACCGAAATGTCTGCCAGCAACCGCTCAGGGTGGCCACACCAGCCTAGCAACCACCCCGCTACAGGCGACATCACCTTAGCAACTATCAGTTAATGACATTACCCATAGCAACCATCCCATAATCCTGTCTGACCACACTTAAGGACCGCAAGAAATCTCTTTTAGACAACCACTCGTTATGTTAAGAGGCGAAGGAGCAGCAGCGAGACAAAGGAGACGATCTGAGCTACACATACCATGATCATTAGAGGTATATAAACTATACTTAAACTATAGGTTTAAAATAAAAATGTAAACATAACCACAATAATATTTATTAAAAATGTTCACTCAGTGAACATGATTTTTAGCAACAAAAACTCACAAACCTTTCATGATGTGACTAAAAATCAAACTGAAAACAAAAACTGAGTTTTGATCATCTCTTTCTGTCTATCTGATAAAAAAATACCATGAGGTCACTCAATTTTAAGCCTTTCTTTATGAATGTGAGAATAAAAGGGGGATCATACCAGTGTTGTATAAAGTACCACAAAGTGATACTTGAGTAAAAGTACAAGTATCTTACCAAAAATTACTTTGTTAAAAGTTAAAGTCTCCTTTAGGAATAGTACTTGAGTAAAAGTCTTAAAGTATCTGATATTTTTTGTACTGCGAGCCAAATGCAACAATATAATTCATGAAACACAAATACTTCTTAAGTACAGTTCTTTTATTTTTAATGATTAAGCTGCGGTGGCCCAAGTTTTAGATTAACTGCAATACAGCCTCTTATATAATCATTGGGTCAATGATTAGAGGTGGAAATACTGTGTTTCTACATAGGACCGCAGATTACAACCTAGTAACTGCTGGTGGGCCAAATTAAATGGCTTGGTGGGTCAGGTTTGGTCCACGGACCCCACTTTGGGTACCTCTGGTTAGGGTTGTGCAAAATCATACCATGTCCAATTAAACATCAGAAAAATATTAATCAATTACATTTTGGCACTTGATGATTAATACGATTAATGCCACCAGGCAGACTGACTGGAGATTTCCCCGGTCAGTCCGCTCGATGCTCCTTTCTGCTTCAAATATGACCAACATTTAAAAAAAGTTCTTTATTTATCATAACTCCGGTTTTACTGGGTCTAAACATCATTTAAAATTGATGCATAGCCTGAAGTATGTACTTTTGATACAATTTGGAACAGATTTTTGCGAACAGCAAATCTTTCTCAGGTGTCCAGGGACTCTAGGGGATTAATCGTCATATTAATCATCGGCTAAATATCACAATTAATCGTGATTAATTTTTTTGCCAATATTACCCAACTCTACCTCTGATACAGTACACACACACACACACACACACATATATATATATATATATATATATATATATATACTGTATGCTGCCACATGCACTAGGCTATATGTCTGCTATGTCCTGCTGGAGTGAGACATGATTTGTTTGTGTAAAAAACTAATACGGTATCAGAATTTATATATTTATACTTCTCATTCAACCACAATTAAATTCAGTCTATCTAGGAGGCACAGTTTATATGGATAGTACTGATTTTACAATAAGCAGCTGGAATGAAAACAAGCAAAATGAAATAAAAGTAACGACTTTCTACTTCTTGCCTTTTTTAAAAATCTAAGGAGTAGAAAGTACAGATAATTGTGTGAAAATGTAAGGAGTAAAAGTTAAAAGTAGGCTGAAAAATAATTACTCATGTAAAGTACAGAAACCCAAAAATTCTACTTAAGTACAGTAACAAAGTATTTGTACTTATACTTTACAACTCTGGATCATATTGTATGTAACATAAGAACAAAAAGTCAAACAAGAGAGATGGGGATGTTACTGGAACCAGTATATTGACAGATGAAAGGGGAGAGCATGGCTAATCTGTGCTTCAATGGAAAAAGGTGGAGGCTGCATAGAACAAACCCTGAGTAATAGAATCGATGTCAGACTGAGATGAAATAAACAGATTAAAGCAAAGACAGTCTGTAAGAGAGCTGAGAATTAAACAGGAATGATTATAGATCTCTGTCTGAGTGAGTCCTAATGATGAGAGACGGCTGAGGAAAAAAAGGAAGATTGCAATGTAAAAACAAAACTTTTCTTTTCAGCTAAAGACATTTAGAGAAAAAAAACTGTCTTCTTATTCTACTTACGTCAATGAGATGGAGAGGTGAAATCTCTGCCTAAGGCCCCGGAACATGACAAAAGACTTGGGTTGGAAGGTCCTGGCAGTGACAGTGCAGTACGGGCGCTCGTAGCCTCCTGCAGGACACTCGCAGCGGAAACCACCACCGGAGAGCTCCCGACACGTCCCTCCATTATGACACACGCCTGGCATGCACCTACCCTGCCTCCAGTCAAACTCACACCTGTCACCTGAAAGGGGGAGGGGGGAGAGAATCACAAATCAAACTCTGTCCAACTGAAACAAGAATCCTTCAACAAAACGGTCATGATTAATTGACATCTAGTCAGTCAATACAGGACAGTGTGCTGTGAGGTGTCTGTGAAGCATTTGACTTTCCTCCCATGAGCAATTTAAAATGGTCACACTGTCACAATGTGTAATAAACAGGGGCAGAGCCAGAGAGGTGGCCGGGGTGGTTGTCCTCCCCAGGTGCCACCCCAAAAAAAACTGAAAATTGGGTGGAAAGCTTGGATTTTGTATTTGCAAGTAGATTATTCTACTTCACTATATAAATTTTAGCTGTTTATGTTTATGAATGACTGTATTGTAGCCTTTTGTAAAATTAGCATTAGCATTAGTGGTTAGCTTACTTTGGGATTAGCATGTTCTTAGCTACTCTACAACAAATTTCAATAAATCTTAAAATGGCTAAATTGTAGCCGTTTAAAGTTAGCTGTGGTGGCCATCTTGAATTTTCAAATCCAAAGTGATTTTCTTTAAATGTACGTACCCCTTAAAAACATGTCTAGCTCCACCCCTGGTCAAAAAGTTTTTAGATAAATGTGTAATTACAACAATCACACAAAAACATACATTTACGCTTGAGAAAATTTTGCATTTTCACAATTCCTTAATTCAAATGTTTTAAGATAAAATCAAAATCAAGTCCCTGAAATAAACAGATATGTAGCCAAGTTTTACCCAGAAAAGGAAGGGTTTTAGCTTTGTAGTTCTCTTTGGGGATTAAAATTGTGGCTGAAATAAAAAGATAAATATAGTAGTTGTGCTCAAGCAGCCAGAAACCCACACCATGTTTTTACAAAGTACGTTGTTAGTTTTCATTTCCTTTGCTTAATCCAAGGCATGACGCCTTACCTTAACCTGGTTAAAAAGTCCAATTTTCAATGGAAAAACATTAATCCATAATCTTTCATCTTCCTGCAGTTTTGTGTGTTTTATTTTAAATCAGTTGCAACACACTTTAAGTAGTTCAGAGCGCAGCAGAGATCTACTTTCACAATCATTTTAACTGAGCCGATACACACTTTGTTCTTCCACTTTAAATTCTGTTTGTGTTCAGTTCAGTTCAATACTAATTCTTTCATTTTTCTCACTGTGTCACAGTTTATTCATTTGTTTTAAGCATCATTATTAAACATTTTTGTTTCTTCTTATGGTGTTTAGGGATCCTGTTTTAAACCTTGGGTGTAACTCCTGTTTGCATCAGCGTCTAACAGAGTTCACAAACACCAACTACTGCTTAAACAGTCTATAAAATAGATGTTTGACAGGAATACTGACACAAACCATATGATCTGGAGCTAAAGTGTTCGTATAGAAACTCAGATTACAACAGAGGGAGGCTCGGTTGTTTTCTGGTATTTAATGGCTCAGAGTTGGTTTCTGGCTGTGAGAAACCAAACTGGGTCTTAACTGTTATTTTTAAAGAACCAGTTGAGAATCAGCTCTAAATCTGTTTTGGATTGTCAGAAGACAATGAACATATAGGATTCAGGGTGCATGTCTGCAGGACGAAAAGGTATAAAGTGGGAAGAAAGTGTGTTCCTGCTGACTTTGAGTCTGCTGCTTTGGAAATAGATGGAAAAGTGAAAACAACATGAACAAATCTGCAGACGAAAATAAATATAGATTTGGCTGCCAGTCAAACAAACGCCAGACTGGAGCGTCTCGAGAGTCTGAAACGCCCACACAGCACACATAAAAAGCTTAAGCAGGGATACGTGTTGACTCTCTCTCCTCACCTATCCTTAAGCGTATTTTGGACGCACAAATTGTCTAGCATTCAGCAGCTGCCCACAAAGCACACCCACACCCAGTGCCCTCTATATAACCAGAGCAGACGGGGTTTGAAAGTAGCCTAAAGACAGATGGCTCCTTAAGGACCCACTTTAGAACCTGCTGATGGCTTAAAAGAAATGCACACAGGCGCAGGCGCACAGTAAGAGACCAAAATAACAAATCCAAAATGCTACTGCATCAATAATTAATGCAATGCAGATATTTTTTTATCCAAAAAAAAACAAAAAAGAGAGACACAAGCACACATTCAGGCTCATTTTCCATCACACACACAATAAGACATGCATGGATCATTGCCCCTGCCCTCGAGGCTGTTGGGTTCGATCATGTAACTGTCTAGGCTGGCACTTTGCTTGCGCTGCTTTTAGACGCCAAGGAACCCACTGGCAGAAGAAGGCCTCGCGTCTTGACTGTGACACACACACACACACACTCACACAAACAATAGACTGCAGCTGCGAGTCAATAAAAGTCCTCACCTTTCCTCACGATCAGCTGGATGGAAATATCGTCTGACACGCACAAGACATGGACACATATACCATGGCAGTTAAAACTGACACTGCAGGGCAAATCGTGTTCATCGAGGAACAAACCGTCCACAGAAAGATGCTGACAGAAAAGCTGTAAAAGTGCACATAGTCATGTCTGATTCATGGCTTGATGCTAAGTCATTTTGACACACAGTAGGAGCTAAATGACAGTGTTGTGTCTAAATTGCTCAAGAGTTAAAGCTAGCACAGGAAACAAAAGTAAGCTTGACAAGGGTGGCGATCGTGATGAGGATCTGAATGATTCTGAACTAGTTTTAAAATGCCAAAAAATAAAACATTACTAATGTTTAAAAAACACAATAAAAAAGGCAGAACTCTGAAATCTGGAAGTGTACTGTCCAGTTTATGACACGAAACAGAGCAGTGACATCCAAGCAGTGCCTTCTGAATTGAAAGCAGTGTTTGGAAGAACTTTGACTTCTATGAAGATAAAAAGAAAAACGATACTGTCAAGAGCTGCTACACTAAACTGTATGACCCATCACATCAAACTGACAAAGTGACTTGAACACATTCAGATTCGTTCTTTTTCAGCTGTTGATACCTGGATCATCCTGACATTATGAGCATTTCCAGAGTTATGCCAGGATTTGTCTTCCTAATCAGGATAACTCATTGATATTTTGTCTGAATCCTATTTTTCAGTTTTTGTAATAAGGAATTATTTATGTCATAATAGAGGGGAAACCAGAAAAACATCAGGGAAAACATACACATAAAGGCATTTATGCTCCATATCATGTTTTTCATTGCTACTGTCCAAAAAAAGTGCTTTAAAATTTTAAGATTATATTTTAGACTGTTCATTCTAATGATCTATAGATAAGGTGTATTTTCATTATACTGTAATTTAATAAAATGCAATTGTTGCACATGTGTTAAAGGGATCCTCGATTAGTTGTAACATTAGACTATATATGATAAACATATTCTTTAACTGTAAAATAAAGACTGTTAAAAATACTGTAGGATGCTCAGTTTTTATATTTTTTAAACTAAAAGTTTAAAAATATAATACATGGACAGGGCCATTTTATTTACATGCAAAGTATTCTGGGAAAATGATGACATCAACTAGGTCATCGTGTGAGGCTGCTAGCGAGCTATATCCACCCTGAAGGTTAATCTTGGACAATATTGTCACGACTTGGTGGTGAGGAGAACCCAAAATGCAGGCAGGCAGACCAAACTTAAAGTAATAAAAAAGACTTTAATAAAGAAAAAGGCCAACGTGGTGGCAAGCTAACAAAACAAAGAAACAAAACAAAACTTGGAACATGAGCATAAGCATGAGCAAGAGCTGAGAACAAACATGGGTAAGTAATGGTCAGACGCTGAAGTGGTGAAGAGAAAAGATCCTTAAATACAAACAGGGCTGAGTGGAAGTAGGAAACAGATGGGTGATTACAATTAAAGAC